TTTTCAATAAGACAAAGATAAAGCCTGGAAATTTAATTTTTTGTAATTCGTAACCGTAAAAAGAGCCTAGAACTATTTGATTGTGTTTGTCTTCTATTTGATAGGTTTGAGGATTGGTTTGGTTGACTTTAACGATACGAAATATTTTTGTAGACCAATAAATCTCTTTTGTATTTGCTTATACGAACGTAATCACCAGCGTGAAACGCCGGTCCTTGACGTATCTTAGGCTTTTGAGACTTCTTGATGTTTGACATAACTAAAATTGCATATGAATCATTAACGTTGATAGGCTTGAATTTTGTAATGTGATGTAAAGTATTATTATACCGCTTTACAACAAAATCTAAATTATTTTTGAACCATTGATATCGTCCGCATAGACTGAATATTTTGTAAAGGTGAGTTTTAAAGTTCTTATTACTCGTTCTACAATGGAGGCCTTTTTAAAGGAGTACGCGGAATAATGATTTATATTATAATTTTTCATTAAATTCTTAAAAGAATCATTATAAAACTCTGTACCAAGATCTGTTTGTAAATTTTTAGGTTTTCGTCTTGTTTCAGATAATAAACTTTTCATCGCATTTTTGACACAAGTTTTATGTTTCGTTTTCAATAGTCTAACCCATACATATTTTGATAGAGCATCGATTACTACTAGGACATATTTATATCCTTTATTAAACGCTGAATATTTTTGAAAATCAATCAGGTCAGCTTGCCATAAATCATCTATTTTTTTAATAATCGTATGTTGACGAGAAAAACTTCTTCTTGCTGCTTTGTGAAGCTCATTGACTATATCTTGTGTACTCCTTTTGGGCAGGTGTTGATGCAATCATGAGGTCGATTTCTTTTTTAATGTAATACATTGTCCTGTAATTGATAGTAGTTAATTTTTCTAAATTGTTAAGGTACTTTTTGACATTATTGTGAATTGTTTTCATTTCATTTTTAAGTTCTTGAACACATTTATCCACATATTCTTTATTCACAGCTTCATCCTCTTTTTCAGGAGTTTGCAGTCCTTTTCATCTTGTTGATTTGAAATCAAAATCACCTGTGTCTATTCTTACTAAAGCGTCACTGAGAATATCAGAGCATTCAGATAGTCGTAAACGCTTATGAACATGATGACCAAAGGACATTGCTCTGCGCCCATACATTGTTCGCCCTGAAACCAAGAGCATCGGAAAATTATGTATTTTATTGCTGATCATTAGTAAATTCCTATTTGATCTTATTTTTATAGCGGACTAGCTGCATTATAGATATATTTAAAAAAAAGTATCAGATTTTGAGGTTATAATCGAACCACGAATATTACGGTTTTTCATTGATCCGAGTGATTTTTAACAAACTGAAAAACGATGTCCTAAAACATTTAGCTATTTCTAGTACCTATCTACATAAATAGGTATGCAATTTTTGTTCTAAAGCCTAAGTGTATGTAAGTGCAACATATAAATGCATAGAATGTAGTTAACAAACCTGCTTTCTGAGCATTGGTTTAGAAATGAGAGATAATGTTTGTGTGTATTAAATGTAAAAATAAAAATATATGTATATGTGGCTCTTAGCATTTAGATGTTGTCATTAGCATATACGGTACGGTAAGATACCTAGTACCTAAATGTAGGATTTAGGCTGTCAGTCACGCCGCTAGACATGCCGTCGAACAGCGAGCGTATCAACCACGGTTTCAACCAAGTTTCAACAGCGCGCGCATGAACAGCGTGAATATTATAGACTACTACTATCTACTACATTTGCAAGCGTGTGCGTCTGGACAGCGCTGTTCAAACGCGTGACTATGAAACCAGCCCTACCGACTTAGTACCTAATTGGTAGTATAAGTTGTTTCTACACGTACATTAACTTAATATGTTTGAATTAGAAATAAAACACAGATTAATTTTATGTTTATTGTTCATTGTCTAAATTGGAAATAAGAATATTGTCTAAAAACTGTGCAGGGATGTCGATATTATTTTGATGTCTCGTAAAGCTCAAGTATCAAATAATGGTCATAACATGGGCGTAGCAACCGATGGTTCTGCGTACAACAATGCAATTACAGCAATATTGCACGATTGCTTCTCTGTTCATCTTTAAACAATATTGTACCACCAGCGGAGCCGCTATTTACACAAAATACACTTTCCATTGCGTATGCGTAAGTCCGTTTATGAATGCTAGGTTATCGTTTGAGTGGTACACAGTTCCAAAAATCACAGCAAGGAAGTCGTTCTTGAAAGCAATCAGAGTCCGTTAAAATAGCCAAGTCGTAATGTTCAATATATAGTCCCGAAAGTCACCACAACACCGATACAATTATGTACAAAGACAATTACAATTGCAAACGACGCCAACCAATGTAACTTTGACAGAATTAGAGATGACGGTACAAAGTAGGCATGTCCGTTTGAAATCGTTTAATCGATTGTTTTTAGTAACAGAATCGATTTTCCAGATCGATATAGATCTGAAGAATCCTTGTCCGATGTCGATACAGAAACCTCTCGAATCGGACTTATTCAAGAACTAGCTATATTTCAAACGATTCAAGAAATATTTTTGCATAGTTGGAACATCTGTTCCTTGTGACAGACAGAAAAACTGTTCTGTTCTGGGTTCGATCCCAGGGTCGGGCAAATTATTATTGGGTTTTTATAAGTTGAAATTCCCAGTAGTAGCACGGAGTCTGGATTTGTGTCCGGTGTTTGGCAATACGCGCATCCCCTATTACATGGGATGTATAACATAACAGTACTTACACACCTCTACCTACTCCTTCTGGAAAATACTGGCGTAATGTTATGTTTATTAATTTAATGATTTTTCTATACAGTTGCTTGTATTTACGGTAAGTTATCGTCAATAATGTTCTGTGTCTATATTAGGCATGTTTGAAAATGTCGCGATTGATCAAAAATAGATCTGTTAATGCTTTATTTAATCGAGAATCGATTCTAGTATGTTCGATTTGCATCGATTTGGAGATCGTATTTTTTTCATGAGAGACTGACAAGTGACCATTTAGTGACATCAAAAATAAGAGCGCCAAATACGATACGACTTATGAATATTTCCTAAGATTTATTATAGCCGTACGTTATAAACAGTATACCATCTATATAGTATATATCATCTTTTGTCATACGATAATATTAATACGATAACAATGTACCACTTTACTTATAATAACACTTACGTCTCTACTTCTTCCATACTTGTAACAATATTAATAATAATATCTGTATCTAGTCTGCAATATTGCTCTTTTTAAAAAAACACATTTATAATTAATGCAGTAACGATAACAGTTTTTTTTTAATTAATTTTCGTAAACTCGTAAGTTATCGTTTAGTAAGACGTAAAATATACTCCAGGCTAAACGATCATTAGAAAATCCTGAATAATTATCTTTACGAATATTTTTCTTCAGCAGTATTCTAACTACCTATTCAAAATCGAGTATGACATTCAATAGGTATAGTAGGTTTTTAAATTATACTTGTAGGGAATAACATAAAAGAATATAAAGAAATGGTAATATAATATTTTTATTGTAGCTTCTTTTAGCAACTTTATTCGAAATAAATTAAAATGTAATTCAGATTAAAAAATATACAACAGTTCATTAAAAATTCAATAATATTTTACAATCGATTGGGCATCCCTAATCATTTTTCGACACCACATGATGTTTGGCGAAGATGGCGGCGATTAATGTTATTAGTCGAATATAATACTTTTTAATATTCATTTTTGCATGCAGCTAGTCCGTGTTATAAAAGTATTTGCAACTAATATAATAAAATAGAAAATTAATTATCGTGTATGTCCGATACTTTTATTACACAGGGCGGTTTTGGACATTGTCCTTTGTCTATATTCATAGCCGTCTTATCGGCTTCTGTAATGAAATGGTACTGCGTAATCCTCCTGTAGGCCGCTTAATATATTTAATGTCTTTTATGATGCCAGATTCATGCAATTCTTCGATTATTGCATAAATTTCATTGTAAACCGCTGTGTTACCAGCTGCCCATGATTCAAGTAGTAATTTTAATCGTTCCACTAACTCGTTTGGATCTTTCCAGTAAACGAAATCAATATTTTTTAACTTCTTTTAAAATATCAACTCCTTCTCACTTTCGAAGACTTTCTGCTTTTATGATTTCTCGCGTGCTTAAACAATGGTTTGATCACTTACATATATTTAAATCCTTTGTTACTGTTAACGGTTTGGATGGATCATAACTACGTTTGTGTGCATAAGTATCCAAAAGTAACAATTTATAATTTTGTAAGTCTTCCTCTGTCACAATTTCTAAATTTGGTAGCTTTTTAAACAATAACTCTTTTAAGCCTGGAGTTTTTTTCAAACTATGATTTCCAATTTTTAAGATGTGATCATCATCATAGGCACGAAGTGTGCCGAGCATTAGTTTCCCACGTTCATTTCTGACACCATAAGGCACATCTTTTAGTAATTATGATGACATAGCCCATGATAATGAATCATTTGCAATACTTGGTGTTGATTTATGTAATTTAAACGAAATTTCATTCGCGTCATTATCGTCCGCAGGATCGGGTGAGTGAGGGTTTTGTTGGATGTTGTATAAAGATCGTTATCTGAGTTTTCTTCATTATTAACAGGATCTTCAAACACATCACTTAAAGAAATCGATGACTCACTTGTGCTGTACTTAAGTTTTTTAATAAAGTGAGCTTGGTCTGTATCTTCATTTAAATGCTGCTTTTCTTCAGTTTTTCTGGTAAGCATATTAAGTGGATCAACGATAGGCTTTTCTTTTTACAGCTGCAGCAGATTTTACAATTTGTTTCTTGAGGTCTTGCTCCATTGTAAAGGAATTATACTATGTTTGACTACTCAGCAGAAACTGATTGTTTTGTGACATAGCGGCTATTAAAACGTTAGTCTAAAATTATGTTATGTATTTATGTAATTATGTTGTGTATGTTAATTAGGTAATTATGAATGTATCAAACTTCATTATGTAACAGCTTTTATTTCGTTCACAGTCTTTATTTATAATAATATAATTGAAAGGTTTACTCCACAAAGTTGAACACATATCCCGGAACTGAGACCATGTCATGTCAGACCCTACATGCTCGTTATAAATGTGTCTCAGGTTTACGTCATCTTGTTTAAACAATATAATCAGGTTAGCGTTATCTCTAACTAGTTGCTTAGGTATCTTATTATAAGTTTGATTAATATAAAAACAGTCGATGTTCTTATGTCGACCCATGGTGAAATAATCGCGTATAATGTTCTGATTTTCACAAGCTACATCGTCAAATATTATAATTGAGTTAGGTGAAGCTTCGTGTGGACTCAAAATTTCGCTATTATGATTATAATTGTAATAAGATATACCTTCCACATTCTGCAGTCTTTTTTCTAAAAATAAGTATTTAGGTTGATATAAAGACTTTGAATATACATAAAGGTTACGAAAACGCGGTCCATTCTGATGTAACATTAAGCTGATAACTAAGTTAGTTTTTCCGCAATTTGATGGACCGCATACAATACTACGTATCGTATTTGGCAATAAGCTCCCATGACGTTTAACCTTATTTTTTGGTGCAGGACAGATACATTCTAATTTAAGTGATTCTTTTTGTTTGAGAAATTTATAACAGTTTTGTTAACTTGTCCGTATTGGCTGATAGGTTTTAATGAACTAACGTTATTTCAATCGTGGTAATAATTTAAATACTTGAAAAAGTTGCTGAAGATTAACTTAATCATCAGCTTTAGTTCAAAAGCATTTTTTTTTATAGGATAGGGTGACAAACGAGCACACAGTGCACCTGATGGCAAGTGGTTGCTGTGGCCCATAGACATCTACATCTATCCTCGTTTGCAAATCAAAATGCAGATGCGTTGTCACCCTTGAGGAATAAGATGGAATGCCTATTTTTCAGTAAAAAGGGTCTCCGGTTCTCTACACTCACCATACGAAACACAGCAGCGTTAAGCTGCTATTTTACGCTGGTATTCAGTGAGAGCGTGGTCCTTCCCCGTTCGAGCCGACCCATTCGTGATACAACTATACTACTAATATAGCTGCAGCATGGCTCTACCACGTAAAAGCATTCACCACTCTTGCTTCGCTCAAGCTATGTGCCCACTGAAGACCATAATCCTCTCAAGTATGTGTCCAATTTTTTTTAGTCTAACCAAATTCGTACCTACATGCTTGCAAGTTTCTATATTAAATCAATTTTTTAACCAATGGTGGGTGATCGCAAATGATCTAGCGGGTTGTACTACGAGTGAGCTACAAAGCCTGATGTCTGTGGTTCGATTCCCATCCAGTATAAAAATTAGGGTGCATAAACGCATGAAAACATTCGTATATACTGTTGGAGACCTTTTTTTTCTTCTTCTTTTTTCTATGTGTAACTAGTGAGCGTCAGCGTCAGCGTCAGATTATTGCGAAATACACTCGTTTACCTGTAAAACACTGTCGTCTCATTTTACAGCGACTGGTTGGCGCCGATGATGTTCCGGCTGACGACGCAAACGTTGATTTGACATCGTATGCAAACATTTATGCTAAGTGTTTTTCACATATGAGCATTTAATGTTAATAAGCAAAAATATTCCTTGCAAATAAATTAATGATGAATGCTAAAGTTACCAAATGAAATATTTCTTCATTTTAAAATATGTCAAACTAAAATACTTCCAAGTGGGAATAGCGTTATAATTTAGGGTATAACATATGATGTCGGGAGGTGTTTAACCATTAGTTGCATCGTGCTTTCCACAGTCTACTAGACTTGCAAGTGTTCGACATCATCATCAAGATAGCAAGTATGTACATAACACTTAGTCTCCATCACTCATTAAATACAATAGAATAATAATTAATTTGTTATATTATGTTAGAGTAAAGTTATATTATGTTTCGCTATATAAGTTTTTCATATGAGTGTTTCTGTATAGTGATATATTTTGTGTTACATTTTTAGGTATTCCAACCCCTTCGAGTCAGACGCTGAAGTACAGTCGACTTCACAAAAGAAGAAAGCGGTTAAGAAACCAGCTAATGTATTAAAGACTAAAACAACAGTTCCTAAGTCCAAGAAACGAGTAGAATTTTTCGGAAGCGAGTCAGAATATGAGGCTGATACATCATCATCACTCACCCCAGCTTCGACCAGCAGGAAACGTAAATTAAAAGTTTTTCCAGATTCTGAGGTAAGCAAATATTATTCAATTTTAATAGTTTGTGTTACGATTTTAGATGATGAGTTTAGATGTTGTGAATAAATTATCAATCATAATTTAATTTTTTTTATAAAAACGTATTTAATTATATTCTTAGACGATCGATGTGATTAATACAATTGTTAGTGAATTGGACTACTAAGTCATGTTATGAGCATCGTATAAAATATATTTATGCGGGGTAGGAGGGATTATAAATATTGTTCATTTGCTTATCAGTATGCTTTTGTTTAAATAGTATTTTTTTGTTTCCAGGATGAAGATTCTGAACCTATCCGAGCAGGGATTTTAAAAAGCTACTTATCATACCGAACAGGTTCGGGATATATGCACTGGAGCGAGCCTTCGAAGCGAGGATAATATTACATCGAAGTGCTCATCTCTAACTTCCGCGAGCTGGAGGCTATTCCATCAACCGACCGCTGGCAGCACTCTCTGATTAGCTTTAAATCAGCTATCGATGAGAAAACCCCAACGTTGTTACCCAGTTGGTATCATGCATCAAAGAAGATTATCACAACGCTCGTCCAGTTTTGTATCCAACTAAGGGTTAGTTTAATAGTTTATTCAGTGTTACTTATCTATGTGTTGTTGCTTTCAGTTAAAATCAAAATAAAAACTAAAACATTTAAATTCAAATTCAGATGAAATCGAAAATCGAAATAATAGAAAATAAAACTAAAATTCTAAATCTGAACTATATTTTATTATAATAAACTGATCTATATTTTAGTGTAGTAATATAATAAGTGTTTTATCATTTATTTTTAGAAATATTTGGTACCCGGCTTAGTACTTTTAATAACATAAACATATAATCAAAATAAAGTTATAAAACTAAAATTCAAAATCTAACAACCAAAAAACTATATTTTATTATAATAAAGTGATCTGTATTCATAATAATAATAATTTAAAAAAATGTTTTTCAGCAAGCTCATCAAAAGTCGTATATTCACAAGTCCAACTGCTTACTGCAAACCGAGTTTGATAATGTAAATATAATAGCATGTGCTTTCAAGAACAGAATTGTCACTTACAAAATTAGTCCTGAAAAATTAACAATTTCACCTGAAATTTTCTTATCTGTTATTTCATACACATCTCTTCAACTAATTAAACAAATGTTGAAGAAACATACAGCATTAAAAATTAATTTTCAACTGTTTGTTACATATACTTTACCTAAGAATAATGAATCATCTATTAAATCTTTAATACTAAATATGAAATTATATACCATAATTTAAAATTAAAAATTTTGTACAGCCGACTTCAATATAAGTTATTTAAGAATAACTTAAAAACTATTGGTCTGACCTTGATCAAATTCATATGGGACCACACGAGAAGTACCAGCTTTCAAATAAAAAAAGAATCATCGAAATCGGTTCACCCAGAAAAAAGTTCTGAGGTAACACACATAAAAAAAAAAAACGAAAAAAAAAAAACATACAGTCGAATTGAGTACCGGCTCCTTTTTGGAAGTCGGCAGAAAAGACTGATCTATCGTCTGTTTACAATAGTTTTGCAGAAAAAATAAGGAGCATGTGTTCAGAATTCGAGCTTTGCGAATTAGGTTAGACTATTGAGGCCATAAGACACTTAGAATTATATATTGTAAAATATAATCCGTAAGATTTGGTTCGTATATATCATTACCAGAAAAAATACGTAATACAAAATCATGCCTAAATTTAAAAAAGCAATGGTAAACACTGCTTTCTTTGGAGTATTTGAGCTCATTTGTATCCAATCACAATAGAGTGAATTCATACCCTCATTACTCAGAAGTTTTAATAATAGATAATATGTTATTTCCTCCAAGTTTTAATGATATTAAATTATTCGAGGAAATGAATCCTAACGTAAGCGTTAATATTTACGGTTTAGATAAAAAATAATGTGACCGGGCCGCTATATAAAAGTTTAAAAAGAAATGTAATGCATGTCAGTTTACTTTACTTAAATAAAAATAATAAACATAATTTTTGTTTGATAAAAAGGTTTGATAAACTCGTACACAAGCAATTAACTAAGCATAAATTTAAAATACATGTGAAGAATGTTTTTTATATTTTAACACTGCAGAAAAACTTTAAAATCATGATTGTACGAGAATACAAACCATTTTACCGGAAGAAAATACCAAACTTTATTTTTCAAAACAACTATGAAAAGACTCAAAAAATTCCTATTGTAATATACGGCGACTTTGAGAGTTTATTACATGAGTATTCAGATAAAAATAAAACTGCGTAGGTAGAAAATATTCAAATCCATGAGGCCAGTTGTTTTGCATTTTATATATTTTGTGATTCTAAGCCCGAAATCAATAAATTAGTTTCCTATCGAGGGTCAGAGTGTGCTAAAAAAATTATTAAATCAATTAGTAAAGTTGTTAAACGGTTACATAAATTACTTTAAAATAATACACCTCTGGTAATCGGTGAAACGGGGCGAGACTATTTGAATAATGTAAAGGAATGTCGTTTGTGTAAAATAAATATGTAGTAATAAAGATATCATAGTTGCAGATCATGATCACTTTACTGGAAAATACAGAGGACCTGCTCATAACGAATGTAATTTAAAAGCTAAGACATGCTCATTCATACCTATAATATTTCACAACCTTTCTGGTTATGATTGCCATTTATTTATAAAGCAACTTTGAGCCACTAAGGTCGTATAAAGCTAATACCCCGAAATAAAGAAAACTTTATTTCATTTACTAAGTTTATTCAAATTATCATCATCATTACAGCCTTTCATAAGTCCACTACTGAACATAGGCCTCCCCTAAGGAATGCCACAAAGCACGGTCCTGAGCCACCTGCATCCATCGACTTCCTGCATGTCTTACCAGGTCGTCACTCCATCTCGTGGGGGGTCGCCCTACACTTAGCCTACTGGTACGAGGCTGCCACTCAAGAACCTTTCTTCCCCTTCGATTGTCGGTTCTTCGAGCTATATGGCCGGCCCACTGCCACTTCAGCTTACTAATCCGTTGGACTATGTCGGTTACTCTAGTTCTACTGCGGATATACTAATTTACAAGTTTATCACGCAGAGAAACCCCGAGCATAGCCCTCT